TTTTTATCCACCTATTGAGTCCTTCCCAAGGACCCGGGATAGGCAGATGTTGTTTGATGGTGTCAGAGGATATAAGCTGTTCCAAGTAAAGCTGCCTTTTGCAATTGACTGGTGGTGATTTTGTTGCTGCTGCTGCTACTGCTGCTGCTGCTGCTGTTGTTGTTGTTGTTGTTATTATTACATGCAGGAAGAGGGAACTCAGAAAATAGATCTGAAGGCAGCCAGGAGCCGAGATCAATACCAGGAGCATTTTATACTGGAATCAGGTTCAGGAGAAAAAGGGGTATCCATAGGCGAAATGAGATTTTTAAAAAAATCAAGATCGTGGCCATGATCGTGTGATCAAGCTCTCCCTCCTTCTAAAAATGTGGTGCTTGTAAAAGGGGGGCAGGGCTTTGGTTATGCAGTTGCAGACACAATCTGGACTTTTTTGACCTCCCATGCAGATACCCCTGGTAGTTGGGAAAAAAACAAAGTGTAAAGCCAACTCTTTATAGCAGAACCCACTATTCCATCCCCTAAAAAGATTTGTTTAGTGCAACTATGTTTCTATAATTGATCTAAAGTGTCCTTAATGACTTCAAGGGCAACTTTGACAGATCAGAAAGTGTTAGTTTACTTAAAGACTCATATTATTACAACCTCCTCTCTTCACCTAGTTGGGGAAAATTCTGGGCAGGGCTTCCTTGCGTTGTGTTTCTTTGGATCACTGAGGGAATACAACATTTTTGCAGCATGAGTTATAGGCTGAACCTGCATGAAGTAAGACAGTTAATTTATCACTTGGGCAAACACCAAATCCATTGTTCCATCTCAGTTCCTCCAAGGATCAGCACAGACATCTACAAAGGGGCCTTGAACAACTTCTTCCTTCTTCTCCTCCTCTTCTTCCTTCCCTTTCTCCTCCTTCCACTTTTTTTCATATAAAAAGCCAAATGAACAGGAGGAAAAGAAAAGAGAGCTTTGCGCTGACTTTCATGTTTATAAAATATGGCTTCTGCCTCGGCCTCTTGTACAAAAGCAACTAAGCTGTGGTTTAGTGAACAAGCCATGGTTGAGCTAACTACAGCTTAGTGCAGAGTATCAACATCTTGTATGGAGGGGCTTCATATCTCAGCTCACTGACTGAGAGTGAAAATATATGGGAATCCTAGGAGCACCATAGCTATACCACAGTGGAGGGTCAAAAAATGGACATGTGAACTTCAACATTCCTGGAGTGTAGAGTGCTGGAAGTAAGTGAGTACATTCATGTGGAGGAGAAGAAAAAACTCTTGTTACAATTTCATACAGAGAGTCCTGTCTTGGTAAGCTACTTTCACTATAGGAAGAGTTCTGGAGCAACTGATTTATCTCTGGAAATTGCCGTTCTGTTCAATAAAGACCTGATCAATTAAATAAATTTCAGTTACCACATTGTTATTACTTTTAAAACAATCAGAGAAGTTGTGCCATTCCCAAAATAGCCACTACAGTTGTCACCTACTTGGAGAACTCTATTTAATAGGGTTGATCAGAAATGTATTCGTTTGTTACTACACTTGATCTTAGCCAAAAGGCTGAGAAGCAAAATTCAGGAGAGCCTTATCTTAGCCCGATTTAACGCTCTCCCTACAGCCGTTCT